ATATATATATATATATGATATGGAATAAAAATTTGATGTGATTGTATAAATATGATAATGATCTCTACACATAGAAAGAAATTAATTTTTGCTTGTTGTTGGAGGAATATTTTGGGAGGAAAAAAAAAGTAGTGTGTGCACAAGTCATATATTTTATATTTGTTTTCTAGAAACATAATCTATGCAGTATCTTAAAATTAATAATTAAATATTAATATGTACTTAAAAAAACGTAATTTTCATTAATTAAATATTATTTTAATATAAATGGATATCAAACTTGAAACTATCAAATTCTCATGACCTATATATATATACTTTATATTAAATGTAAAATAATATTTTTAAACATAATACAAAACGTATTAGCGTATTCACACGTAAATTAATCTATTTAAATATTGTACTAGGTAAGTATGAGATTACCTACGATAATGACGTCACGTTATAATACGTGATTTAAAATCCAAGATTAAAAAATATTATAATAAACAAATGCAAAGCACATTTAGCTAGCAAGGAATAAAAGAAAAATGAATGTGAAAAGAAGGATTAAAGTCAATATCAAGTTAATGGTGGTGCGTGATGACCATTATGCCCATCTTGGACCCTTCCTAGCTCCCTATAAATCCCACACACTCATCACTCTTTTCTCCCCTAACTTACTCAGATCCAGATTAAGCAATTAAACCACCATGGTGGGTTGGATTGATCTTCCTTCTCTTTCTCTCTCCCTTTTTAATTACTCTCACAAATATGTTGTGTTGCATTAATATGAGTATATGACACAGTACTAGATAAAAAATTTGCAGGAAGTAGAAGCTCCCCAGGTTAGCACATGGGAAGGGTATGTGAACTGGAGGAACAAACCTGCTCTCAGAGGACGCCATGGAGGCATGCTTGCAGCCTCCTTTGTTCTGGGTCTGTCTCAAAATCTTTTCTTTTTCCTTTCACCCAAAAAAAATTCATTTTTCACACACACATTTATTGGGGGCATCTTAAGCTAGGCTTGGCTACGTGCATATAAAAGTTATTTCATCATACAAATGTTTATGAAAAATAAATTATGTCACAAAAATAAGACACGAGACAATTCATTAGTACTGATTCCGAGGTTGTTTGGTTTTGTTTTGTGTTGTTGTGCAGTGGCGGAGATATTGGAGAATCTAGCGTTTTTGGCGAATGCGAGCAACTTGGTTTTGTACCTGAAGCAGTATATGCATATGTCTCCTTCGAAATCTGCTAACAATGTCACCAATTTCATGGGAACAGCTTTTCTTCTTGCTCTCCTCGGTGGTTTCTTATCTGATGCCTTTTTCACCACTTATCGTGTCTACCTCATAAGTGCACTTATCGAGTTCCTGGTACATTACACTCTTCCTCATCACCCTTTGCTACATGTGATGTCACTTTATTATGCTTTGTGTGTGTTTGTGTTTGTGAGTTGTGAGTTGTGAGTTGTGAGTTGTGACTTTCTCTCACTCACTCAAACCTCCCTACTAAGTTAACTCATTTTCTATTTAAACTGCTAGCTTTTGCACTTATTTTTTTCTTCCTTTTCTATGTTGTGTTGCTGGGATTGGATGGGAGAAAAAAGGAAAATCGGATTTTTTATTTTTTATTTTTTATTTTTTAAGAGAACATATGATATAGTAATAGGAGAAAATTTAGACAAAAAAATAACTGGAGGTGTTTAATTTTTTTTTTCTGGGTGACTCAAGAAACACGTGTCCGGGAATAGGATGTGACGTGTTTACTAGAATAAGAGTCAGTTGCAAAGCTTTTGCAACTTGCAGGGTATGGTTGAATCAAATGGTGCAACAAATTAAAATCCTCATCGAAGAATCGAAAAGAAAAATGTGAATGGTATTAAGAACACTTATCCAACCCTGGATTCCCTTTCTTTTTGCTGCATTCCCTCTCCCACTTGGTTAACAAAATAGCCTTATGAGATATGAATTGCATGAATGCCCACTCAGATACAAGTCAACATTGAGACCAAGTCAAGAATATATATATATATATATATA